AGTGTTTCCTGCTCTGTTATGTTCCCTGCAGGTGTGTCATACACAGTTATTTTGTCCACAGGCACCTTCTGTGCTGTTATTTTCTCCACTGGTGTTTTGGCACTGTTATTTCCTCCACAGGCATTTTCTGTTCCGTTATTTCCTCCACTGATGTTTTGTGCTCGGTTATTCGTGTAAAAGTACATGTACTTTCTGTTGATTCCTCCTTATCTGCTGTCACTTGTTGTTCAGTTTGTATTATTTTCTTCATCATCCACAGCAGTTCATCGCTTTTGTTGAACGGGTCCACATCTGCTTCAATTTCTTTGTCTTTCATATCCCTTGAATTAAAAAGGTTAAAAAAGGTTACAGGCTGTCTACAAGCCTACTGGCTTATCACGTATCACGCCAGTGCTTAACTCCAGTTTCCAGAGCATGACGCGACTTGGAGTATCGCTACTCCGCTCCAAGCATTTTTGTCAGGTTGCCCTGACAATTTGCCGGTACCCATTTCTACTCCTGGGTGGAGAGAGGCACTGTGAGAGTTAAGTGTCTTGCCCAAGAACACAACACAATGACCCCGGCCAGCGCTCAAACCCGGACTGCTCAATCCGGAGTCCAACACGCTAACCATTAGGTCACCAAGCCTCCCACACTATCATTAGTACTACAGGCCCTTTAATCATACGAGTGCATGAAGTACAGTGGAATCCACTTCTTAAGGTTCACCTTCAATATCAGGGTTTTTGAGAAATCGAGGGTTTGAGAAATCAAGGGTTTGAGAAATCGGGATTCCACTGTATATTATAATGACCTCAACACCTACATTTTTTGTGAATCCAGTGTTAACTCGTCGACTTCAGGCATTTCAGCTGGACTGGACACACTGGACTCACTAGCAGTTCCAAAGTCATCTCTTCTGTGAAAACAGAGAGAGATCATGTCAGGGTTTAATGAACATGTTGTTAATTACTGATGAAGGCTTCGCAGATGCCAAAATGGCAGAAAGAATGAAGCAATAATCGATGCAGAGTAACAAAAGTTAAGATAAGTCTTTTTTAGCCTAGTTGGTCATAAGGCTCCGCTAGCTAGCACACAACTCCAGTTTCCAACAATGTGACTAGGAGTATTGATACTCCTCCTGGATGAGATGCTAGTCCATTGCAGGTTACCTAACCCTCCGAGGATGCTGGGCTTACAGAGTAAGCTCCTCCAAGTACAGTCAACTCTCGTTATAGCGGACACCCTCGGGACATAGTTTGGAGTCAGAGTCCACAATAGCGGGAGTAATTTTCAGTCAAACCTCTATAGCTTCCACTGAGGAGAGGGTTGGATTTTGTCCGTAATAACGGGGTGTCCGCAAGGCGAGAGTTGACTGTAGCTTGTGCAGCAGGCACTGGAGTAATATTGAGCGCTAGTTGGAAAGGCACATATACGAGAAATGAGACACTCCAGATGAGTCTTGCGTCTCTTCACTCCCACACACACCTAAAAACGTGCGCTCTTCTCCACTCCAGCACCAGCTACGCAGGCTACCACCAAGTTGTTACAGTCCCAGACTGTTTGCATATCTTATGGTTTAAATTTATTTTTGGTTTAAAATTTTTCAAACCAGTTTGCTTTTTATTTTCCTTTGTTTCAGATTATGGTAATGAAAATTAGACAAAGGAAAATAAAAATCAAACTTGTTTGAAAATTTTAAACCAAAAAAATTTGAACCACAACACATATTTCATTGGCTCTGAAATTTTACAACTGCAATTATTGAGACATTGCTCTGACAGCAAATGATGTCTTACTCTTGTGTTCTTCCTGGCTTCCTTCCTCTATTATCCTTTCTTTTGACAGGAATGACCGGAGTTGGGCTGATCTCGGCACTCCTCTTGCGAGCTCTCTCAGCTCTAGCTGACGCCATTTGCTGCCGTCTCTCTTTCCTTTCGATGATCTCCTTTTCATACTCAAGCTTGTCTACTGGCAACATAGTTAATTTCTGCAAGTACAAGGTAACCCCGAATAAGACAAATTATTTACCACGTTTACATGACAATCCAATAAACTACGTAAACTAAGTTGAAAGCTGGAAAAAAAAAAGAAAAAAAAAAAAAAAAGTTGAAAGCTGCTTTATGCAATAAAGTCAACTCTCGCCTTGCGGACACCCCGTTATTACGGACACCCGCTATTACGGACAAAATCCATCCCTCCACCCGGCGAAAGCTTAGAGGTATGACTGAAAATGACTCTCACTATTACGGACTCTCTCACTATTAGGACTCCCACTACGTCCCGAGGCTGTCCGCTATAACGAGAGTTGACTGTGCATTCAACAGTTGCAATATTTACAGTATCTTGGCTGTGTGCATGTACTGTAGTACAAAGTGTGTACACATACCATAAAGCCATACAAATGTCTGTGAATTTGACGTTTTTCAAACGAAAAATTCTCATTCAATATCCATGTACTCACCCGAGTATCTGGTTTGATATTTACTCTGTGAACCAACTTTGAATCCATCGTAAAAATGAACTTCATATGTACCTAAAATGCAAGAAACAGAATTACAAATTCACAACCAAAAACATATATCAGGGGAAAGTACATGCAAGGTACACACTAGGGACCTTACTCAAACCACGACAACAACGGCAACGAGAACGTCACTAAACAAAAGGTTTAAAGAGAAGTACAATCATGGCTCTGTACGTGCGTTATAATCTTGGTACATTTCTTAGCCGTCCTCTGCAAATCAACAACGTGAAATGACCAAATTTTGTGTTATGTGGAGAACGTGAACCACACGGCGAATTTTACAAGTTTCTGTTTAGAATTGAGCACGACAGCTGAGGATAACTTTGGTACTGATATGACAAAATGAATATATCTACAAGATTATTGCGATATTCTTACGTAAAATATAAATTCATTTTTCAATCGATGTTCACCTCGACGTCGTGGTTGCGTAAGGTCCCTACTATATACATCCTATTGTAGCTTTCTCCTATCCAGTGTGTGTTATCAATAAATATTATTACAACACACATGGTTGATTCTTAGTCACACACTGAAATAGCCACTGAATAACAAACATAATTTCTGTTTAAGAATTTTACTGTCAAAGTTTGAAAGCTTTTCTTGAGACACAGCTGTAGACCTCATTAATTTTACTCTCTGACATGATGTGGGTTTAACAAAGAAAAGTTACATAAGTTAACCCTTTCACTCCCATCTAGTCAAACCTCGAGTCAATAAATGTGGTTGTACCTTTTAAATTGGTGGATGAAACCTTGGTGTGTGACCATTCAAATGAAAGCTATTGAGCAGTACTTTCATGTGGTGCTGTTTGTTTTTGACAATTTTGCAAAATGAAATTGAAGATTTTTTCCCTCAGTTTTGAACTTAGGACCCTTGGGAGTGAAAGGATTAATTAAATAAGTAACAATAAGAAAAGTAAAACATACACGTGTTGGTCAATTATCACAAAAGAGTGCTCACGCTTGATCGCCAACTTTGGAACTAAACCGAGTACCTTACAGATGACTAGTCAACAAGTCTATATAATAACACATGTATTTCATGTTTACTGTTGTCGTAAACCGTAACAGGTGACACAGGTTTTCAGGCCCTTGTACCTGTTTACCCAGAGACAATGTGTCACTTGCAATGGTCGGCTTCCCATGAAAATCCTTTGTCTATTATTTTAAACTAAGCTTATAGCAATCTTTCTATAAACAATAATGATTGAAAGGCAAGGAGCATAACTGTTGTGGTTTATATTAATTTTGTTTTTAGCTCAAAATTTTTCAAACAAGTTTTATTTTTGTTTTCCTTTGTCTTATATTCATTATAATAATCTGAAACAAAGGAAAATATAAATCAAAGGGAGGGAGGGGGAGGGGGGGAGGACAGGGGGTGGGGACCCGGAGTAAAGAGAGGGGGAGAAGAGAGGGCGGGAAGGGCGGGAAGCGGAATTCCCAAGGTGGCGGGAAATGGGAAAAATAGGAAAAAAAATTGCAACATTGCGTCATATTTTGCAATAGAAAATCACAAAGATCGAGGCGGGATGGAAGTACAAGGTATGGGTATCAGGAAGTTCAGATCCCCCGGTCCCCCCCCCCCCCCACCCCTGCCCCATCACTATAGTGATATCATGTCTTTGCCACTCAATCAAGTATCAGGATGTATTTCTAGTCCTGGCACCACATAAGTTTACTTCAAGTAAAGGTCTTTGATATCTTACCATCATTGAGGCATTTTGCAATTTTTGCAGGATAAAATTTGCAGTCTTGCCACTTGGCTAACACACGATCACCTTGCTTCCAATCCTGCGCAAACCAACAAATCACAAAAATCACGTTGAATACTTTTTAATAGAATATAAAACTGTAATAATCAACATTGGTACACATTGAAAATGTTTCATCAGGTTGAAATAAAATAACAAATAAATTTTCTTCGAAATACAGCCAAAAGGAGAGACAGGCTTTTAGCCAGAATTTGAAAAGTGGGCGTCTGGAGGCATGTCCCCCCCATAAATTTGTTAAAGCTTTGGTGCATTTTGCATCATTTTATCCCAGAATTGGGCATCCACAGAACACCTGGACACCCTTCTGGCTAAAAGCTAGGGGAGAGACACAATGTACCATTGTGGCCCCCAAAAAACCCCAACAACAACAGTCGGCTGCAAGAGATTTGGGCTCCCCACAGCTACAAATCGAGCCTCGTTCTGAAGATGACCAGACACCTGGTCAAAACTAATTATTTTGATAAACTTTGGCTGTGTTCGAATAATATTTATTGTTATTGGTACATCTACATGTATTCTTGTTCGCATTCATTTTGTTAGATTTGTACATCAATTGAGAATAAGAGCCTTTGAAAGTAATTAGGTTGCAAGTCAGTAATACAATCATGTACATTTTGTATTATCGCTCAAAACTGAATTTTGTCGCCGGTACCCATTTATGCTCCTGGGTGGAGAGAGGCACTGCGAGAGTTAAGTATCTTGCCCAAGAACACAACACAATGACCCCGCCAGGGCTTGAACCCAGACCGCTCGATCCGGTGTCCAATGTGCTAACCATTAAGCCACAGCGTCTCCCATTATATCAATAAATAGAGGTTATTCAGCAGAAAGTTGTGTAATACGGCTGGGTATTTTTACGAGTCAGTTTTATTTTTTCGAGCCTTTAGGCGAGAAAAAATAAACACTGACTCGTAAAAATGCCCAGCCGTATTACACAACTTTCCGCTGAATAAATTGTTTATTATACGACATAATATCTTTCCTAAAATATAGGCTTTCAACAGTGTTTTCCGTAGCGCGCGGTCAGGGGGACTGAGACCCGTGTAATACGGTCTCATATCTGCTCTCGTCTTTGTGCGTATTTGCACTCTAAAATGCCATGTCGTATAATAATTACATGTATTGAAAGAAGTAATAATAAACCATTAGGATAGTTAAGAATGGTGGAAGACTGAGACAGGTTATGAACTGTCCCCCAAGAAAATTAATTAAAAGTGCAGTTACAAGTCACAAATATTGTTAAAACATGGCACCCTTTCAACTAAAAATATTATAAAAAATAAAAAATAAGAATCAGTGGATCATAACATAAGGGAATAGAGATGGCTTAATCCTGAACTAAACCAAAGTAACAGGGCTGTACCTAGATGATAAGATCTAATTTAGAAATGGAAATGGCTATGCCAAGAGCTTAGTGTGGAAATAGTTATAATAAAATATTGTGCAGGTTGGTACAAATTGTATTAAATGGTGTTTATGTCACACCTGCTTTATCTTTATGCAAATGTTAACAAAGGCCTCCAATAATTAGAAGCTAGTTTCAAAAATAATTATTTCAAAGTACAGTGTAATATTTAGTTAGCTTCCTTTTTGGCCATGTAATTACATGTAACACAGACTCTGTGTTACTGAGACTGTGCTGGCCTAAACTACATGCAAGTCGAGTAGCTTCAATTTCAAAGAGTACAAATACAAGATCTTTGATAAAATCAAACTCGATGTGCAGTTACATGTACCTTTTGACAGAAATATATAGAGCAGAATTTGGCTCCTGTACATAACATAAGCTTATTGCCAACTGTATTCCATTCAGTTTGACAATGATCGCAGCTCACCATAACAAGGTTCCAGAAAAGTTTTAAAGACAAAGTGTCAATGAAGAATTTCAACGGGTCAATAGATACGGGCCTCTCCAAATCAACAGAAGTTTTCTATTAAATTTTTGTCAGGTCAGCTAGCTGCCCTAGTCAGGTTTTTTACTTGAGACCCTCTCTTAAATCTGGAACACTGCATAACATTGAACATTCGCATTATCTATGACGTCATTATTTTGATCATAAAGAAGTTTGGTAACAAATATTCATATTCAACTAAACACGTCACAGTAAATCTATTATGCAGTATAAAAACAGCAAACCATCTTTGGGAAATGTTGTCTGGTTAAGATTACATATAGACTGAAGTTATAATAATACATAATTTTACAAATTAGTAGATGAACCTCCCTTTGGAAAATTCCATTCTGAACACGATTATTTTTAGATCTTGAATAACAAAATAAGCTTGTTATTATTAAGCTGATAAAAAAGGAAGCAACGTTAGACCTTAATTTACATGTACAGATTTTACTTTAAAGATACAGTGGTTATTTACAAGTTAAAAACAGGAAAAAGAACTCATCTTAACCTGATAGTCGCAAACTTCTTGAAAGAAACTGATCGTCACAAGTGAAGAAAGCCGCCGCAGCACAAAGAAATGGAAAAATATTTTAGAAAGCAGGAGTGAACATGTACATATACTTGCACATAAAACACAAATTATTAATAATGTATGAATATAACATCACAATCATTTACATAATGTATGAATAGGGCTTTAAACAACAGTTTATTAAAAGTGTTATGTAAAGGAAATAAATTCAAGTTTGAATTTATTAAGTTATTTTCAAAACTGAGGGTAAGAACAGTCAGCAACGAAAATATTTATTAGATTAAAAAGGATAAATTGAGAAAGATGTAGTTATGTACATGTATGGCATCAGATATCAAGCAAAACGAAAGCTGAATATCAGAAATTCATAGAAAATACAGGAAAGCAATATTGGATGCTGCTTTCTTTATAATAATTATACAACATCTGTTGAACTAATGATTGCATCAGATAGATTAACTGTCAGAATGGTATCCAATGAAACAACAATATTCAAGAGGCTTATCCTTCACAACAAAATCGTAAGAATAGGGATTTTTAATATTGTTTACATTAATTTCAACAAGCAAAAGATTCATGAAGAAATGCAATTTATGACAGATTAAGAAAGGGTAAAAAGACAACAGTAACTGCATTTAATTAAATGCAGTTGAAGCTCTGAATTAAGTAAAAACATTTGTTCAGCTTGTTTTAAAATTAATTTGAGACAATGAGAATTGCATTTTAAAATGATTATTCCCTGAACTTGGTTTAAAAAATAAAAATAAAATATTAAGTAGCAGGGATTCTGTTTCTCCAAGGTAAAAGTAAGGCTCAATATACTGTATAACTTGGATTGAGGAAGTATAATGTAATGTAATTAATTATAACAAAACGACCAAATAATCATAGCGGCTCCTTTTTTGGCAGTATCGTATAGATCTAGTACTCTTGATCGTCACTCTAGATACACATGTACATGTTGGCTACCAATTAAAGCTTTGTTAAAATAAAACAGTTACTGTTCACAGCCTCTCTATTTTCTCGACGCTAAAAAAGGCGAGCACGAGGGTGGGCTCTGTATTTTTCTCCGTCCCGGTCCTCCATCCCCTTGCACTTCGCACTCGCTTTTTTAGCATTGAGAAAATAGAGAAGCTGTGAACAGGTTTATGTTGAAAGTAGCCATTGTGTCACTGGTAACAGGGGAAGAGGAGATCAAAGAGTGCAGCTTGACATCGTAAATGACATGCTAAAGACAGTGGAAATCCCCGGTGGAAGCCTTGTATACTACCCAACACAGACATGACTGAATGAGTGCATGCGTCACTGCTATCATTGTCAGCAACTACATGTAGGACTGTAAAGCAGTCCTGCTCCTTGGCATCAATAAAATATTGTGATTTTGTACATGTTAGGGCCTCCACAGACTAGGCCAATTGTTATCGATAACTATTTAGTTGTCGATCATAAAAAGTTGTCGATAACAAAAAAGCCAGTGTGTGAAGCTAGTTATCGATAACTAAGGGCCTTAGTTATCGATAACTAGCTTCACACACTGGCTTTTTTGTTATCGACAACTTTTTATGATCGACAACTATCTCTCTAGTCTGTGGAGGCCCTTGAACACGACATCAGGAAATCTCTTTCCATGGAGTGTATCATAGAGAATCAATAGTACATGTTGTTAACTCATCCCAGTATAATCTCAAAATGCGACCCAGGTAACAAAACATGTTGCTTTTTAAGTGAATTATAGCAACAACAGGCAAGTTCACCCGTAACATCAAGGTCCCATCAAGCATACTCAGCCGTAACAGGTGTTACGGGTTACAGCCGTTAATGACAGCCCTGGACCAACCTGCCCAACATATTGACAAGCTTTATCCACTGAATTGTTTTGTGTCAATCCATGAATTAAGTATACGCACTTCTAATAAAAAATAATTGGCCAATTTTTTCTCTGTCAGCTTATTTGGTTGGAATTATCAAACAAAAATGATCATTAACCTTGTCATCTTTGGTATCCTGGAAACAAGTGTTGTCGTCCATATGGTCTCAAGCGTTCACTATCAAACGAGATCCACTCATCGTAACGGTGATTCCAGCCCTCAAAGTGAATTAGCACCTTCCTCTCTTTGTGATCAACTCGACAGATCTTTGCAGAATACCTAAAAAAAAACCCAGATGTATACAAAGATTAATATTGCCTAACAACCCAATCTTGTCCCAGCTGAGTCCTTGTTACCCTTGTCCAGCGGCAGGAATGGGCAACAAGGACCTCTGGCAAGGAGATAAAGCGTTCCACCTGGCATGCACAGTAAACCTGTCATGGCAGAACGCTTTATCCTTGAGGTCCTTGTTGCCTGTTCCTGCCTGGATAACAGTAATAAGGATTCTGGGAATGAGATTGATAACACCCGAGACTGTCAGGGATTTTGGTAGAGAGTCTCAGCACTTTGATGCGATATATTACGAGGTTTAGGTGGCGAGACAACAGTGAATCTAGTAGGAACAGCTTAATCTGTGCAGTACTAACGGCTGCGCAAATCATTATAAATACACTGATATTTCACACTTAAGCAACTGCAAATCCCTTTAATCTGCTTGGTAATAAAAAATACTAAAATAATTTAAGATGAAAAATATTTAGCATACAAGGATAACATTTCGTAACTGCCAACAGCTAGTAATGAAACATTTTGCTGATTGCATACAATCGGATGATAACCAAATGTATGGTGTTAATTTTTTTCGAATAAATATAATACATTGATAGACATCTCTCTACTACTTGAAATCAACAGCCACTGGGCACTCATTTATCACTGATAAACACTTTACTCTCACAGTTCCTCTCCATCCAGGTGTATAAAATGAGTATCGGCAACAACATGCTAGGGGGTAACCTGGCACTGGACTAGCAATATACTCCTGGTCAGCTTCATGCTACAGAAACCGGGATAAGCTCAGGAAGTGTGGGCCAGTTTGGCCCGAGTGCGGATTTAAAGTATGTATTGGTCACTAGGTTACTCTACATGTATTAAAGCCGTAAATATTTTACTACGGCAGCAAAAATTTCTATTTTACCAGCCTTAGGGCCAATTTAGACGGTAAAGCTTTGTCGCATGCGACATAAATCGGCCCTTAGGCTACCAGGCTAATGTACATGTTCATGTCAAACCCTGATATCTCCATCACAACATGAAAGAAGTGATAGATTACGAGCCAAAAGCTGCACACTTGCAGTGACAATTTGAATATAAACGCCACCGCTAATTTGTTTACATACAGCATATGTTGTAGTACACGAATACAAGGTAAATAATGACATCACTTCTTAGCCAATGAAATCTATGAACTTGTCCATCTTTGGATAGCTTTTA